AAGGGAGGAGATGCGGTTATTCTCAGATTTTGTCAATTCTTCAGGATTGTTAGATCTACAAATGTTTGGGAGACAATTTACTTGGTTTAGAAATGATGGCAAAACTATGAGTAGATTTGACCGGTATCTTGTTTCTGTGGATTTTGCATCGTCACGGGAAGGGTTGGAAAAATGGGGTCTTCCTAGAGGCATGTCAGATCACTGTCCTGTGTTACTTAAGACAGGTGTATCAGAGTGGGGACCTAAGCCGTTTCGAGTCCTCAACTGTTGGTTCGACGACATTCGATTTAAGCCTTTTGTGGAAGATGCCTGGGGGAGAATGGAGATTAGGGGGAAGAAGTGTTTTGTGTTGAAGGAAAAATTGAAAGAGTTAAAAAAGCGTTTAAAAATATGGAATAAGGAGGAGTTTGGGGATATTAACAAGAATATTGAATTGCTACATGAGGAAATTCACAATCTTGAGTCAAAGGAAGAAGAGGCAGGTTTAGAGGAGGAAGAATTGTCCCACCTAAATCTAAAAAGGGGGGAATTACAAAAATGGGTAAGCCATCAATGCTCTATTTTGCACCAAAAATCGAGGGTGCAGTGGCTTCGGGAAGGGGATGTTAATTCGAAATATTTTCATCGGTCTATTGCGCGGCATAGGAAAAGCAATGAAATTCGATGTTTAGATTTTGATGGGGAACTAGTGGAAGAAAAGACTCATATGCATCGAAAGGTGAAGGATTTCTTTGAAAGGCATTTTCGGGAATCAAATAAAGCGAGGCCGAGGTTGGGGGAGTGGCGATTTTCTTCATTGTCAGAAGGGGAGAGGTTTTTTTTGGAAACACCTTTTTCAGAGACAGAGATTAAGGAAGCAGTATGGAGTTGTGATGGTAACAAATGCCCAGGCCCGGACGGTTTTAATTTACGTTTTATCAAGGAATTCTGGGATACTCTAAAAGAGGATTTTGTGGGTTTCTTTGATGAATTTTTCGTTAATGGTAAGCTGGTTAAAGGAGTCAATAACTCTTTCATTACTTTGATTCCAAAAAATGACAATCCCCAGGGTTTAGGTGATTACCGCCCAATATCCTTGATTGGTAGTGTTTATAAGGTTCTTACCAAGGTTTTGGCCAATAGGATGAGTAGAGTGATGCCAACTATAATTTCTGGATCACAGTCAGCTTTTGTGAAAGGTAGGCAGATTTTGGATGGGGTTTTAATAGCAAATGAGGTAGTGGAAGAGGCTCGGCGGTTGAGAAGAGCCTTGGTGTGTTTTAAGGTGGACTTCGAGAAGGCCTACGACTCGGTAAATTGGGAGTATCTTTGGGATGTAATGGGGAAGATGGGTTTTGGACCTACATGGGTGAGTTGGATGCGAGAATGTGTGTGTTTGACAAAATCGTCTGTTCTGATCAATGGTAGCCCAACTGAGGAATTCAATGTAGGAAGAGGATTAAGACAAGGGGACCCACTTTCTCCTTTTTTATTCTTGATTGCTGCAGAAGGGCTTAATCAAATGGTCCAGTTGGCGGTCTCTTTGGATTTGTGGAAGAGTTTCATAGTAGGCAAGGACAAGATTCAGATTTCCCATCTTCAATTTGCAGATGATACGTTGCTGCTGACTCAAGGGGATTGGAGGTCTTTAGAAACTATTAAGGCAATATTACAAAATTTTGAATTGGTATCAGGCCTTAAGGTGAATTTCAGCAAGAGTAATTTGATAGGTATGAATATGCCGGATCAGTGGTTAGAGCAAGGGGCGAACTTGTTGAATTGTAGACGAGGAGCTTTTCCTTTTAAATATTTAG